CCGGCGTAGTCCGGCGACGATGGGCCAAGGGGACGGAGTGCGAGCCGGCGGTATACGGGCACCACATCGACAGGCGAAGGGCGCGCGCACGTGAGGACAAATGGGGACACGAGAAGCTGGTCAGCGGCCTGAGGATGGCGAACGTCAGCGAGGCGGACTGCTACGTGGTGGCAAAAATTCCCGTCAGATCTCAGGGATGTAGGCAATAATACCGTTTTTAGGCAAAGCAACAGTGGATAGCAGATATAAGGTCCATTTTCAGAATGGATTTTAAGGCAAAACAACTATGTCGGAAGTGATGTAGACAAACTTCAACCGGGCGAGAAAGAAGCTCAGCCAATGTGAATAAGTAAGTAAAAATACACAAAACAGAGATCTATCAATTGAAGCTCCGGTTTTTCCTTTTACCTTTTCTCTTCCTTTTTTCCATCATATATAACTATATGCGTGTCTCTACTGCTGCACGACCTAGTTTTCTACTTTGATTTTTGCCTAATTATGTTCTCCGTACTTGCCTACATTTTAACCAACCAAAGAGAAACACACAGAGCACCTGCCATCTTCTAGGCATTAGAATATGTTTTTTCCAGGTAATATGGTGTTTTTTTTCAGGCAATACAACGTGTTTTTCTAGCTTTTTTATCTGCTACTGTAAGCAGGAGTTACAAATTGATCTCTCTAGAATATGTGGTAGCACAAGTCTGTATTATTCTGCAAATTCCCTCCTGATATTCTTAGTACTGTTAAAAAGTTAAGTTTAGTCAAAAGTTTGCTCTATTATCTCTGCTGGGATCTGTTCCTACCTTTTTCCTTGAGATATATGTTGTCGTACATATCTAGCGAAGGTTTTTTAGATGAAATCATGCAATGGTATGGCTACTCTGGATTTTCTTTCTTTTTCTATCTATTTTTGAATTCAGTAGATGTGCAGATTTAGCAAAGTGCAGTACTTGAGCATAGCCACTTCAATCTGAGAGAATAATGAGCATGTGTAAGTGTAGGGCTGGCCTTTTCATAGGAAGCAGCCTCGGTTTATCTTCAAGGAATTATTATAGTTCCAGATATTATTGTAGGCATCTTTTCAACTGTAAGTTTTCAGATATTTTGTTTGTAGGCAGTTCTGGGTGATACGTAGGCATCTTAATTGTAGTTCCAGACATTATTGTAGGCATCTTTTGGATATGCAGGCATCTTTTCAACTGTAGAATTTCAGACACTTTTGTTTGTAGGCACGGAGTTGCCTACCAACCCACGTATAGTCACCGCACCAAACGATGAATCTTAGAGCATCTCAATACACTAAGTCGCCCAAAGCCTCAATCAACAAAAAACGGCTGTCAAAGACCTCACACACTGTCGCCTCACGCGACAACAAAGTCGGCTAAGCGAAGGGAACTAACTCGCTCCCCTACCACGACAGTCCCACCGTGCCCCCGCAGCGAGTCTACTCTACCATGTCTCACATGCTAAAGCCGTTCAAACAACCCTACACACATAAAGTTGCTACACTAAAACGGTCAAAGTCGCCCTAAACCCGAAATCACTAGAAAAGAGCTGCCTAAGCCCCTACACATAGTCGCCTTGGTCCGACTACAAAGTCGCTTAATCGAGGGTACTAACTCAACCAAGCCCACATGCTAAAATCGCTTACAACACCCCTAAAATTGCGAAACAGAGTTGCCTAACAATCAGCACATAGTCGCCACAATCCTAGAGTATCCCAATACATTAAGTCGCCCAAAGCCCCAAATCATTCAAAAAAGAGCTGTATACGCCCCTAGACGTAGTCGCCTTGGCCCGATTACAAGTTGCCTAACCGGGGGAACTAACTCGACCAAGCCCACATGCTAAAGTCGCTTACAACACCCCTAAAATCGATACACAATCGCCTACCAACCAACACATAGTCGCCGCAATGCTAGAGTATCCAATACACTAAGTCGCCCAAAGCCCCAAATCACTCAAAAAGAGATACCTAAGCCCCTACACGTAGTCGCCTTGGCCCGACTATAAAGTCGCCTAACCGACGGAACTAACTCGACCAAGCCCACATGCTAATGTCACTTACAACACCCCTAAATTCGCGACACAAAGTCACCTACCAACCAACACATAACCGACGCAATCCTAGAGTATCACAAAACACTAACTCGCCCAAGCCCAAGTCACATAGAAGAGCCGCCTAAGCCCTTACTCGTAGTCGCCTTGGCCGACTACAAAGTCGCCTAACCAGGGAAACTAACTCGACCAAGCCCACATGCTGAAGTCGCTTACAACGCCCCTAAATTCGCGACACAGAGTCGCCTACCAACCAACACATAGTCGCCGCAATCCTAGAGTATCCCAATACATTAAGTCAGTCCAAAGCCCCAAATCACTCAAAAAGAGATACCTAAGCCCCAACACGTAGTCGCCTTGGCCTGACTACAAAGTAGTCTAATCGGTGGAACTAACTCGATCAAGCCCACATGCTAAAGTCGCTTACATCACCCCTAAATTTGCGACACAGAGTAGCCTACCAACCAACACATAGTCGCCGCAATCCTAGAGTATCTGAAAACACTAACTCGCCCAAGCCCAAGTCACACACAAAGAGCCGCCTAAGCCCTTACACGTAGTCGCCTTGGCCCGACTACAAAGTCGCCTAACCGGGTGAAACTAACTCCCACCCCCTACCAACATGTGCCCCACTGTTGGCCCCGCTGAGAGCCAACTCAATCAAGCATCACTTGCTAAAGTCGCTCACAACACCACTAAAATCACAGCACGAAGTTGCCTACCGACACACATATTCCCAGAGTAAGGTTCACTTTTCTTATGTTGTTTTCAACTTCACCAAGTAGGCAATTTACATGTTGTTTTCAAGTATGAGAATGTTAATCCCTTTTGCCCACTAATAGAAGAGAAACTTTAGCGTGTAGACTTTATTCTCTAGTTTCATACTACTTTTTTCAAAGCATGTAGGGTAAGTTTTTTGATGTCTTGTTTGAACAGAGAATTTTTTTGAACAACTCAACTCAGTTGAACTTGCAATTTTCCCCCTAAAGCAACTATGCCGCTGCAACTATGCTCGGTTGGTTTCCTGCATGGGTTTTATTTAAGCAACTTTCTATATGGTTTTTCTTCCTTTGCAAAGTCCAGGTGCACGAGGTAAAATAACAGCAAACAACAGCTCAGGATCTCTCTAACATCCAGGTTCAACAAGCAGGGGGGCGGCAATAATAGGCTCACCATTGTAAAAGATCCAAAATCAAGCTGCAAAAGCATGGGTGTATAGCAGAGTTTTTGCACACTACAAAGGAATCATGCTTCTTCTTTTCTTTTTGCAAAAGAGAGATGGACCTTTACCTGGTGATTTGGTGGAATTTTTTGCCTGATTGCTGACAAATTGACTATTTCCACCAGAGTTTTTGCCTGATCTACAGCAGACAATTCTCACAAATTGTGATATCGCCTTTTCTTCTAGATTTTATTGCCGGGTTTTCTTTGTGTTATTGCTTAACAGGAGCTCCCTCCCCGTCTAGGCCATGGCGTGTAGCAGCGGATGGAGAAAAGAAAGAGTTTGCATGAGGTTTGTGCAGGGGAGTTGTTTTTTTGGTGGGGGGCTGCGCTCGCGCGATGTGAGGAGCGTCACTGGATTTCTTTTGGCAGGACATGTCAGCACAGCTACCCAAAATAGGGCGGCCGCCAGATGATGCCATATAGCGCGTACGCGCTGCGTATCATCATGTCAGAATTCGATCAGAACCGGACAAAGCGAGTTGACGGCTTTTAGCCGTCTGATGCTTCAGGATCACGATGGAGCAAATCGTGTGCCAGAGTTTCCACCTCACTTATCCGTTTTTTTTCTTTTTATCAGTTTTTATTTCTTTTACGGGTGCACGGAAGGAAATATACCTAAACAGAAGGAGATATACTTGGTCCAATGAGAGGGAGCTGGCAACCCTGAAAAAGATAGATCACGTTTTTGCTACGAACTCATGGGAAGATGAATACACCTCCTACCAACTCACCGCCCTTGGATCTGTTATCTCGGATCATTGTACGCTTCTTTTGGATCTGCATGCTGATTTTCACTTTGGGAAAA